TTTTTAACCATCCCCAAAGCTGGTCAATCTTTAGTTACATAGTAATAGACGTTCTAACTCAGTAGAGATTACAGCAACGAGGTAATTCTCTGCAACTGCAAGGGACCATATACAATTCCTCGTATATCAGATTCTCCGTAAAATTTTTCCATCTAATGCAACAACCGTATCATGTAGTATAAAAATGGTCAACACATTCGAACAAATACGATTCTTGACATTTCAGAACTTGGAATTATTAAGGTACACAGTACACGGCCAAGCCAAACTGTTCAGAATAGGAAGATACATCAAAACAATCTAGGAGGATAAATGGGAATATTAATCTGAGACACCTACACCACTTCACTTCCTCCCAACATGGACGACAATAAATTTTTCTTCCTTTTTCCCAGGAATAGACTCCAAAAATAGCACATAACCAAAGGATAAGAAAAAAGAGAAAGAAAGAAAGAAAGAAAGAAAGGCCCTAACACCGCACAGAGGAAATATAATAAAAGAATTAATAAAGAACTCTGTAAGAACAAAGAACAATGTGTCCACCCACTATATCTACAACTTCCCCAAAATAAAGTCTGCTTTCCACAAAATTTCTTCATGCTCATTATCCATTTTGTAATGCGGCATTGCCAAGCACAAAGAAATGGTATTTACCTTCAGTAACTCTAAATGGCAGTTGCAATGGCATCTGAGCAACTATGGCATTATTTGTCTCAGTCATCACAATTTAGGCCACAAATTTCTAATACAGGGCCATCTCTTGAGACAAATGGGTTTATTCTGACCCACAGAAGAGTCAAGATGGATGCCAGCAGAATAGACCAGACCAAAATGATGGTAGGCATGCGGTCTTGTTTCCCAAGTAAACCCTTGAGGAATGGGTAGAGATGCATGATGACCCAGAAGGCAAAGAAGAGCCTGCCAAACAGTGGACCCCATGAATCATACCCATTATTGATGGCATCAGAGACTCCCACTACTACTCCGACTATGTTTATAATCAACAATGTAGTTGGAGGTATCAACAAGGATGTCCATTTGAAGAGGTAAAGCTCTGAGAATTCCCCATCATCTGCTGCTTTGGAAGTGACAGTAAAGTTAGTGTTGACACCAGCCAAAACCTTTAACAAACCCTGGAAGAGGGCAAAGAGATGTGATGAAACACCACCAATAACCCAAAACTGCTCATTTCTCCACCAGTCATCTAGTCCAACACCTCCCCACTGCATTTCAAGGATACCAGTTGCGGCAATAGATATGAAGAGAGCTATGAAGAGAAGACTGGCGTAGTTGCTAATCTGCAAGCAACACACAAGTTTGCAGGTTAGCTTAAGTCTTAGTAGACTGGTTGGCATCATATTAGTTACAGGACAACCATAAGCAGTCAAGCCAATGCTTCATCTATTTCCAATATTAGTTCCAACATGCATTCAGCAATTGGTCAACAGAAATGTAAGCTTTGTTTTTGTTTCCAAATGAAACGATAGAAAGGATAAAACACTAAGAAGCACCGACATGAGTCATTACCTCAGGAACGATGAATTTCCCAGTGAGAAGGCAGATGGCTGGAAGAGTACAGTATACAAGCAAAGGAATGGAGGTCCAGGGATACACCACTGAGTTAATATAAGAAAATCGTTCCAACCATTTCAAGCCACCCCCATAGCCATACCAAATTGGACAGTGTCTGCTCAAGAAAATTTCAACAGATCCAAGGGCCCACCGAAGAACTTGGTTTAGACGATCAGAAAGGTTAATAGGGGCTGAACCCTTAAATGCAGGTAGCTTAGGGATGCAGTACACAGATCGCCAGCCATGGCAGTGCATCTTGAATCCTGTCAGGATATCCTCAGTCACAGAACCATATATCCAGCCAACCTAGTTAGAGAAAAGTTTAGAATATTAGAAGATAATAAGACTATAACTTGAGTGTGGTAAATTTGGAAGACATGTTCTTGTTTCAACTTACTTCTTTTCCCCACTCTGTTTTATCTTCATAGCCACAGCTGATGACTTGGATGGCTTCTCTCAATAGTGATGCAGGGGTTGCATTTTGAGGAACTCCACCATCCTCTAGAAGAGTAGAGGCCACAAAAACAGGAGATTGCCCAAATTTCTTCTCCAATTTCATTTGCATGGTCTCAAATGATTTCTCAGCACTCACTCCTGCAGTACCATCCAAATCTTACTGAGGATCTTTTAGATTAAAAATAAACCACAAGGACAAAATGAGACCACCAGAAAACTAAGTTACTCCAATTAAATTTAAAGTTTAGCATACCTTCAACTCCCTCTTCAATATTTTCAAGAGCATGTATCTGCTTTGATGCTTCCCTTTGTTTTGACTTCTTTTTCTTTGGAGTCTTTGGCTTTGATTTCTTGTTCTTTCTAGATCCACAGCACAGGCAGCACCATTTTGGCCAGCAATTGCAAGTCTTGCCGGGAGGCTTCTTGGTGACTGGTGCATCATAACCATAAAGCGCTTGCCTTCTGAAAACACAACCAGTTCCGACATATATCGGTCCTTGTACACCATCTAATCCTTTCATGTTGACCTGTTACCATCTTAGGAAATTAGTTTATACATTCAAAGAAGACAAAATGGTAATAAGCAGAGAAATTCAGTATGGAATATACATACATCAAAGAAAACAACGTTTCTATTTGAGTATCTATCATGTCGATCTATTCCATCAAATCTTTGGGGAAACTGCACATAGCAGACTTTCTTTCCTACTGTGGGGTCCATCATGAAACACATAGCTTCTCTAAGAGCTTTGCTGTTGTTAATGTAGTGATCACAGTCAACATTCAGAAGATAAGGAGCATTTGAGAGAACTGCCGAGACCCGTACCTACAGTGGAAAAACATAAGAAAAAGGTAAGAAGAAAGTTCAATGATTACCACAATTTAATTGGTAAACAAAAATATGTAAACCTATGCCTTACTGCCTTACCAAAGCATTCATAGCACCAGCCTTTTTATGATGTTCAAAGCCTGGTCTTTTCTCACGAGATACATAAACCAGACGAGGTAATTCATTTCCCTCCACATCATGAACCCCACTATGACCTAGGAAAACCTGCCCAAAGCCAAGAAAAAGAAATTATATTTTAGTTCATGTGAAGAAATCAGAAGAATTAATCACACAAGGACGATAAATCCTTCAACACTATCTTTCAGTGTAACATATTTTCAATGTGAACTCCTTAGCTAATAAAGATATCAACCATATTGAAATAAAAGGTCCTACATTCTATGTAAGTAAGCAGTAAAATGATTTAAATTTTTAATTATACACTAAATTCTCAAGTAAAGTACCAGGCAATAAATAAACCTATTAACCAAACTGGCAGTAAATCTTACACCTACTTACATGTTCACCAGGAAAAAAGATCAAAGATATGTAAACTCACACACTGTGTTTTTCAAAAGAAAGTGGTATAAACATTGCATCAACAAATTCATTGAATCTAAAGGTGCTCTATTCTTTTTCTCCTTTGACCCTTGGGCTTTACAAGAGCTCTGTAGCATAGTTCTTTGGGGTATAAAAATCGTAAAAACAAATGTCCAACAAGATCTGACCTGGATCATGCCTGGATGGTCTCGCACGTTGTTTCCAGGCCATGGTGTCCCATCCTGCATTGTCCAACCATCCTCAGGAACCTTTTGTGCTGTAGCAACCAGCCCATTAATCCTGACTTTAAATTCTTCATATTCTCTCTGAACCAGATAATAGATCAAATTAATATCCTGAGGAATATAATGTATCTGATACTAGGAGGAAATGATTACGTATTTAAAGGTGATTTGGAGATCTGGATGTCCATTAAGAAGTCCAGTAGGCCCATCCATGAGAAGAGAACCAGGAAAAAGAAAAGTCACAAACCTTCATTGCTCGCCTTTCCCTCACAAATGCTGGATGAACTTTATTCTTTAGATAGTCTATCTTTTGAGAAAAGTACCACTCGGGGGCACGAGGTTCAATATTATACTTTTTACAGAAAGGAACCCATTTCCTAGCAAATTCTGATGTCTCTGAGAGAGCTTCAAATGTAAGCATGGCAGCACCATCATCTGATACATAGCATGCAACTTTATCAACTGGATAATCAACAGCAAGGATGGACAGAACAGTGTTTGCAGTGATTAGCGGAGGTTCTTTCATCGGATCGACTGTACTCACAAAAACATCCATACTGGCCAACTCTGATGGTTTCCCCTCTTTCTCGTACCTGTAGATAAAAGGTGCAATTTATAAGGGAAAAGAGCACAAACCTAAAATTGCCAATAAACAATAAACATGGAGAGGGGAAAATAAATTCAAGCCCTGTTTTCATGAAAGCATGTCACATAGGTCAGCATCATGGTACCTCAGAGATAGCCGATCAAGGTACGTTTCTCTCTCAATAGGGTACCATTTTGGGAACTGATCCAGAATCCATGAAACACCAAACCAAATCTCACATATTACTGATGTCAACCACAAGCCATATGCATCATTAACTGGATGGAGAATTCTATAGTGAAAAAACAATCCAAGAATCACAAGACGGAGTATGACAATCATTCTGTATGGATTTATCTTGCTTGAAGGAATTGGTAGCTTCCTTGAAAGTGGCTGCCTGCCTTCATCCATCCTGAAAATATGAACCATGAAGCTTGTAAATGGTCCAGACATGTAGCTAAAAGAAGACGCATCATGCAGAATTAACAATGTAAATAAATAAAACAATATTCCTTATCAGATAATATTATTAAAAAAAAAAAAAGCAGTCTGTTACATGGGCAAATCAGCATCATCAAGTTCCTCCCCGTCAGAGTTTCCACCTCCTTCATGCTTAACCACCTGAAGCTTTTCATTCTGCCTTTTCTTCCACTCCTCCATCCGATCTTTCCATGCAACACTCCCATAACCATACACAGCTATATCTTTTTTAGGAACCATTGGCCTAGGTTGCACTGCAGCAGTGAAAATGCAAAGGTTGAATAAATAAAGGCCTTTTCCAAAAACAACAACAGAACATCTGAAGAATGACTTACAAGGTACAGATGGATCCACGTAAGGCATTGGATGAACTCTATTTCCATGACCCATAAAAGGGGGTACAATAAGTGCATGATGATCAGGAGAAATCTCAGAACCCTGAAAATATAAAAACCTCAGTTATATTGCAATTAAAACTCACACATATTGAATGCATACTGCTAAACATCTGCTTGCGTGCATAAGCACATGAAGATAAAGAGGCTACCTCCTCGCCATAGGTCAAGAGAGGAATTTGAGAGCTAGGAGGTGAGGAATCCAGTTCAGAGTTTCCAGGCATCCCATTAGCCTGGGAGCCGCGGCCAGTGTTAAGACGTGCAGTGAGCATAGCCTCTGCAACCAGTTGTGGACCCAAAGCATCACCGCTACCATAGTCAAACTCATTTTCCAGATCATCAATGTCATCTTCCTCCTCATCACCCTCAACTCTAGGACTACCTGTAATTGTTGTTACTCATTAGCAAAACTAGGAAATTTTTAAGGTTCCCACGACAACATCGAAGACATTATGCAGTATCAGTCTTACCTTTGAGGCGCTTGTATCTGGTTTTGCACTGAGGGCAAGCTTGGTTTCCTTCTCTTCTCTCATATTCATAGCAGGGTCTGCACACTGGGAAAGCACATTCATTGCAGGCAACAAACAGCTCTCCATCTACTGTGAGCTCAATCTCATCACCACAGATCTGACAAGTTTGTCCACTCAATTCTCGCACAGATTTTATCTGTTCAGCACCAGAGAAGATTAAATAAAAAAATT